GGAGAGAGCAGAGGAGAAGAGAAGAGAGAGACAGACAGACAGAGAGAGAGTTTTTTTGTAAGTGTTTTACGGCGCTCGCAACTGCATAAGGCATAATAATATGAGCGCACGGGACAATTCAATCTCACCGTTCAATTTCAAAAACATCAACACATTCATCATCTTGTGCTTAATCTTTTCAACAGCAAGACAAATACACAAACCAGCAAATACATCGTTAATACTGATCTGTTTCGACAAGGATAAGGACACCGAAGTCAGACTTGAGTCAAAATCAAACTGAAATACCCTGAGATTTGGTCGCTTTTAGGGACAAGCGGGCTAACCCAGGTATCGGGGTTTCCAGAAATCTTGACCAATACCAAAAGTGGGCATTGCTCTACCTATAGAAGAATGTTGGTTTCATTTGTGTGTATATTTGTTTGCGTATGGAGAAAACCCTCCTTGTCTTTTAAAGAAACTGAACAAGGGGCAAAAACTTTACCTTTGATTTTCTCAAAAACAGCATTTTTCGGGATAGCCCCCTACTGCTTCAAAGCGACCATTTATAATTTTGGATGGCCTACCACTGAGCCCTTTAAAAAAAAAAATTGCATAAATTGAGCAGTAAATTTTCCAGTTGTGACTCAGAAATTCTCCTGGCCTGAATCAGCAAAAGACATGAAATTAGAGGCAATCATTAAAATGACATTTGATTACCATCATAGCATGTTGCAAACACACTCAGGCTAATAAAACTTTTACTTCTATTTATATAGAATATCATTTAAGGTTCACTTTTAATACAAATACTGTAGGTGTAAAATATTACAATTATTTGCCTGACTTTGAACATTATAGTATAATTTTCACAAATAGCGTGAGGTACCATCATTTAATTAAAAACACGTTTTTTTTAAAAAGACGTACATGTGAATCAAATGTTAATAAAAATGTTAAATTCAATGGACAGACTCCTTATAGTTTGAATAACACTGCAAAGTTCAATTTTCTGAAGGTACAGCCATGCTTTTTCTACAATGTTTATTTTTTGTTTCAGTAGAGGTTTTACGGCGCTCGCAATTGCATAAAAAGTCATGAGCGCCAGAAGATTAGGGGTGTTACCAGAGAGTAACAAACATAAAAAAGAAGGAGGGGAGATTAAAGGATGATAGATGTTTGATAGGAAAGAAGAAGCAAACCACACCGGAGCATCCTCCAACCACCCACTTTTCTACAATGACACTTCATAAACCCAAAAAATCTTTTCATCATACAGATCTTGTTGTACTAGGGTACCAGTGTTACTCAGCTTCCATTTCAATAGCAGTGTATGACCTTGTAAAAACACCACAAAAGAACTACAACACAAAACAGCCATGACCCCTTGTTCTTTCTGCTGTGCATTACATCAGTAACCAGAATTCCTTTACTTTCTCTCCCGTTTCACATTTAACTACTCGTCCATTTTCTGCTTCATATTTGAGGAACTGAACATGAATATATCGACTTCATTTCCATCGCAAATTAATAGTTTTAAAAATATTTAAAGGTTTAAAATAGAACTTTATCACACTACTAAGCCTAACTGTGTAGCAATCGGACCAATGTTACAGTACCCCCCTGAAGAAAGAAAAAAAATCGGGG